AGAGAATCAGCAATAATGATTGCCGTAAAAATATCTTCCAAATACCTACTACACGTATAGCAACCGCCTCTTGATACAATCAGCTAGTCATGTCGTTGAAATAGTAGCCCAATAGCGAAAAAGTACCTTTCGGCGGTACTCGGGCAAAAATCCTCAACGTGGCCATTTTTCAAATAGTGAACGTATTTAGCAGTCTTAGGAAAAGAGCAAATCTTCCAGCTTTTGATGACATATTAGCTCTCCAGATTGACAGAAAATCGATACACAAGTTATTGGATTTGGAAGCGTAAAAACTCGCTATGCGATTACGAATTTCCCCGTTACATTTTTGCAAAAATACTCCCAACGTGACATTTCCCCGAACACTACACGCATAAAGCTACATCAGTGACCAGTTTATAGAGCAAATTTTCTAGTTTTGTCTGCCAACTATCAACTTTTGAGATTTGACGAAAATGGAGCAAGTTATGGCTTTGGAAAGCGTAAAAACTCTCGCTGATCCCGAATTTTCCTTGCTAGACATCTATTAGGTCAACTCATTCAGAACATGTCGAGACATCTAGAGAAATTGTGTTAAAGGTAAAAGAGCTAGAGCATTCTTCTTGCTTTTGTTTCAAAGCTAGCACACCCTAGCTACGGTATACCTACTATTAAGTTTGTAGTGCCGCAGAAGGGATCACTTAGAAAACATAAGAAAGCTCATAGTGACCAAAATCGAGGCAGAATTTCCAAATTGTTGGTGACACACGTAAAATTCGCAAGTCAAATTTCTCTGTGTGCCTGGCACAGCTTACGCCGGGCCGCGCGTGATACAGTGTTCTCGAAGTGCTACGTTGAAGATATGGTGTGAGAGCTCAAAGAAGGAAGAACGGATGCGGAGTTGTGGTTGAGGACGCGCTCACATTGCCCACCTTGCCGAAGAAGAGCGGGTGGATGAAATGAGGTTTCAAATGGCGCATCACAGATGTTGCACCTTTGCGATGTTTGCCCACGAGACTTGCAGTCTAGCTGCAGCTGTTACGCGAAATTGTGCCCAAAAAATTGGGGATGGTCCACAGAACATGTTTTTGGATATGCTCATTTACTCCCAGATGCAGGAGTCCAGAATCGAATTGTTGTCTGTAGCATTCATCTTCTCTGCCAATAGCGTCATTTAAGAGTATCAAACTGGACCCTGCTCATAAACGAAATTTGAGTGGAATTGTACCCTGAGGCTCAAGTCAGAAGCGTCAACTTTGGATTAACGCGAATGAGGAACTGCCCGAATTGGATCACGAGAAGTCACGTGGGTTCACGTGGATGATTATTATGGCGATGGATTTCTGAGGTGTGCCTCTTAAATGGCTCTGTCGGGAAAAAACCTCCGGCGTTTCTCAAGTTTATGGCTTGTTTCTTAGCGATCAAATTGACAAAGGAAAACTGACACAAAGCTACCATAACGAATATATACAATCTACTGTCGAAGCCAAACCCGCGCACCCTACATAGCTCATAATGCTCACGGGTATTTCGACCAAACGCATACTTGTGACCTCTTCTTATCAGCCGTATTTTCCCAACTGTAGCCATGTGACCTCAGCTGTTTTATCGAACTGAACGGCACCTACTCGTTGGTAAGCGCTACGACAACTCGTTGATCATCTATACTGACACCAAGAGCATTTTGTTTATACTTGTTGAAATGAGGAAGCTGCGCGGTGTCCAGTGATTTCTAGAGGCAACATCCCGCCAGCGAAGGCGGTTGCCTGGCTTCTTTCAACTGAAAGGGGGACGTGTAAATTGAGAACCATAATCTGTGTAGTACTAGAATTTGGTAAGTCTTGTGGAGGAAATAAATAAAGAAGAGATGTTGTCATAGTATGCCATTTTTAGTGGCTAGTTTGTCGTTTTTTGGTCTGTTTCTCGTTTGCTCGTTTGGTAGGACTCATCATATTATGATTATTTCATCGACGTTTTACACTTTTGTACTCTTGACGAATTTGGTGGAGGTGGGAGATAGGCAGAGACTTTTTATAAACAGTTTTGGGGGACAATTAAACAAATTAACAACAATAACCTTCTCATAGTTCGGCTTGTTAAGAGGGTCGTTTAATGGGGGAGGGAGGGGAAGGGGTCGTACTTCCGAATTTTCCTAGTTCCTGATTTGTTAGATTAAGTGGGTTCCCCATTTTCTTAATTTTTGCTATTGCGAATGCAGCTCGGGAAACCAGCTCAGAGCTGGGTCGCAGTAGTGAGGAAATATCTCACAATCTCTCTTCTCTATACTACTCTCAAAATTTCTTTTTTTCAAATAGACGCCCTACCTCAGATTGGAAGGATAAGCCGTTTTCAGGGAAGTTGTGGCTGGACCATGACCAAGTCCATCGTATAACCCTGACATTGCTCCTATCCACTGTGTGCAAACACTTCAAAAACAGTCATGTGTCTGAATTCTTCAACTCCTAGCTTCGCCCATTCTGGTAGGAAAGCATCCGAAGGTTCCCTGGCGAATACTAGATGCATATCGGTGATTATGTAATGGTTATATTTCTGATCAAAATTGGTCTGCAAAGACCGCTCAAAACTCGAAGAGTAAAAAGTGTTGTGATTTCGACTGGGAATGTGGGAGAGACCCAATATTTCAGTTTCAATGGGCTCATTTGAGACACTACGTTGTGCAGTTTCGCTCAGACAAACGGAAGACCCTAGTTTTTTTCTTGTAGAATTTGGTGCTTTTGATAGGTCCAATGACACCGTCCAGTGATGTTTCGCTTTCACTCTTTCAGAGAGATTCCTTTCATATGCAAAATAAACTGTTTTCTTTGTTCACGTATATCTATCCTACTTACTATAAAGCGCTTCGTCTGTCTGTCGTCTGTCGTTCTGTATGTCTGTCACGAAATTCCCTAGCTCCTCGGGATCCGCCTGGAGGGACCGGGTCAAGTGTGGGATGGGTGGGCAAGGTCTCACGAAGTACAAAACACACATCAGCTAAGCGGAGCCCCGCCCACAGTGGGCGTGGCGTGCATCGGACCAGATTTCAAATTCAGTCACAAAACAGCCTCGAAACTGGGCCAAAAAGTGGGTAAAGGTGTGCATTGGTAAGTCACATCGAATTAGGGAGACCCACCCCGGTGGGCGGGGCGTTCTCCAAAAAAGCAGTGCTTTATGAAAAATTTCATAACTCGGTTGGGAGAAAGCCTACAGAGCAGAAATTGGTGTAGGGGAGCAATGTCTAAGGTGTTTCCCAGCATACATGACGTGGGCGGAGGCCCGCCCACAATGGGCGGAGCGCGCTCTGAAGTGTACAGCATTTTCTACAAGTCCTCATAATTCGGGCCGGGGAAGTCTTAAAGAGCCGGAAAAAGGTGGATAGAGGTGGGTGGAGGAGTGGAGGCCAACTGTCATCGGTGGCGGGGCATGACCAAAGTGGGCGGAGTTTGCGACGAAAATTCATAACTCGGCTCCAAGAAGTCCCGGAGGCCGGGAAAAGGTGGATGAGGTGGGTGGAGGAGTGGAGGCCAGCTGTCATCGGTGGGCGGGGCTTGACCAAAGTGGGCGGAGTTTGCGACGAAAATTCATAACTCGGCAAGAAGTCCTAGGAGATAGGGGAAAAAGGGAGTAGAGGTTGGCGAAGGAAAGGAGGTCAACTGCTATTAGTGGGTAGAGCACGCACCTAAGTGGGCGGAGTTTGCCAAAAGTGTCGTAATTTGGTTCCAAGAGGTCCCAGAGACCGGTGAAAAAGGGGTAGAGGTCGGCGAAAGGAAGGGGGCCAAATGCTATGGGTGGGGCACGCACCGAAGTAGGCGGAGTTTGCCACGAGATTTATTGTCCGGAAGCAGTCCGGAGACCGGGAAAAAGAGGATAATGGTTGACGAAGAAAAAGAGGTTGAAAGCCGTCGATGATGGAGCGGATAGAATTTAGCTGAGAATTCAGATATTCGTGGTGTATCAAGCCAAATTTGAAAATTTTCGTCGCACCATCAAAATTCGCCGCAGATCTGTGTTGTGCGCGCAATGCGTGCGGCGCCAACTGGTATTACAATAATTTGCTGTCGTAAGGTCATTGGATGGAGTCATTGTTTCTATCAAAAGCACCAACATCTTGCAGTAATCAAAACGATCGAGTCATAACGACCATTACATATCGAAACAGCATCTACATATTTGCACCGCTATTGTCTTGCCGTTTTGCCCGCGTCATTAGGAGTTGTAATACTCACGGAAGTAAACTAATGATCTTTCTTACCAGAGTGCACTTACTTGTCTACCCGCTCTGAGTGAAGAAATCATTGCTCTGAACTTCAACGCTGTTCCGCGCGCACCTTCTCAGCATAGCTACTGACAAGCGCATCAGCCTTTCTCCCAAATTCAACACCAACACGTCACTCTAGCAGCTAGTTTGATGAATGTCGCAATATAGTAGAGAAGTTTCAGGGACACTTCTGGTGATACCCATGTAACATCATCGGACAGGTTGTGGTGCAGTCGACTGCATGTTCGTGCAGAGGTGAAGTCTTGACGAGTCCAGATCATCACGTATTACATGGTTAGATTATGGGATGAGCGCCGATCTATGTGAAACAAACACAAAAAATCCATTGTCAAACCGTGTAGATTTGAAAGTGGAACTGCATACGGCGTCCCATTATTATCGTGATTTGTGCTTACTCTGTAGAAGGGGGCTTGTTAGCAGGCATTGCCAATGGTCCCAGAAACGATACTAGAATTGCTAAAGCTGGGTGGGCTTCGAGCAATTTATAGGAACTGAAAAGTTTGCTTTTCTCACAAATAAAGGAAATGAAAATGTGTGATTGAAATAAGAGAAAGCACAGTATTCATAAGGAAGTCAATTCTCCATTGTGATTTCAATGAGAGGCTTTGAAACCGAGGCAGCACTCTTTTTTCATATGGTTTAGAATAATTGTAATCTTTATTTCACTATAAAATGGATAATGAAATATTTCAAATGTTGTATTAGTCTACGTACTTGCAGAGACATTCAAAACGAGGTTGCTGAGCTAGTTTAGGCCTAACGTCTTTCCTCTTCTGAAATGCAAAGCTGTATTCGTATGTCTGATGCGATCACGATCTGATCTCTCACTTGGAGTCAAAGACACATCGCATTCTGACATGCTGTATGCTATCTTCCTTGGTTGTCAGCCACATAGCACATCCAAAGTTACTGGCCGAACAGCATCTGAATTTGAAAGAAATGTGAATTCTTGGTTTGCGCACGCTCGCGTCGGATGCTACAATTTGTCTTCAGAATAATCAACAATTTGAAATTACATTACCTACCTGACCTATACGGCCGCCTTTCTGAATGGCTCTTGTAGTTTCTATATGCAGCGTTGATTCTAAGTACTCTTCGATATCACTATAAATGAGTTACGATGAGTACTAGAACTAATTGGATACAGGAGAAAGTATGGATGTCTCGACAACACCCAGTTTCATTACGAGAAAATCGTAATGAAATCACCTCTCGAAGCTGAACTCGAAAGAGCTGGTCCCTTTAAATTCTCCCGTAAAGGCACTTCTAGCGAGGCTGCAGTTATAGGCCTATAAGTGAAGATAAAATGTTCTGAAGAGCTTCACTTGTAAGAATTTGGAAGAGTTGGCTGTTGTATAATACATCAACAGGGTGAATATCGCTTGAGGATTCCTCAACGGCACGTCGAGGATTCTCTGCCCGATCAGAGACGATCTCTCGCGCGGACATTCACACTCGCCATGCCGTGCCGTCTGTGCTCTCCGCGCGGATGTTCACTCTCGGCACTACTCTCGCATGGTAGAGAGCTATGGTCGAGGATTTCCTCGACCGTTATTCACCCTGCATCAGACCTATTTGACAATGTGCTGCCGCAACGCTTCATTGGGCGCCAACAGATTCGCAACTATAACGCATCCTCCGAGATTTGAGCGCCAAGTGATGCGAATGCAAAACAGAGTTGCCAACGACTGACGATATCAGTGTAATAAAACTGGAAATTAAGTGAAGGAAATCCCCTGAAAATGGTTCTCACGAAACACATGCTTCAGGCTAGGCCGTCGCTCTATTCTTCGGTTACTCTACACTGCGGTGATTGATGAATAAGATTAATTAACACACTGACGACAGCGAAATGCGCATGCGCTTCACGTCTTTCGCAATATTAGACTCCTTGTTAGGTTTTTCTGGTAATTTTTGTGCTTGAAACTGCCAATAATAGAAGAAATTTTGGAAGTGTATCGCCGATTTTGCAAAAATATACAGGAACGCCGAGGTCACACATTAAAGAGGGTGTTGCTAATGTGGTAAAGGCACAACCTAGGCAGAAGTCATGTGAACGGCCTCTAGGGTAGCCCTTAGAGCACAAACCATAGATGAAGCACTACTCCCTGTCATGCCTCTCATGCACAGAAATCGCCCGGCAAGGACGAAAGGGTCTGAAAAGTTTGATGTAGCAGATGCAATGTTTCCCGTTCGCAACAAGCTGTTGTCTGGTGCACTCTGTTGCGCTCTCTCGCCTCAACCACTTCTCTTCGCGCTCAATCTCTCACTGCTTTGGCACAGCCGCGCTACAAAGGTGAGCAAGCTCTTAGCTGGAGCGATTCTAACAGATTCTTCTACTTTATTCGTCATTGCGATCCCGTACCACTGCTTTCATCCTGCTGTGATAAATTGACCACTGCTTGTCATGAAGATCACTTACTATTTCTTCTATTTTCCGGATAATTTTTGCGCTGGTGATTCACGGTTTGAGCCAGCTGTTTTTGAATTTCCTTGGGAATATTTCTATTACAGCGAAAGCCTAAAAACAGGATTGGACCAAATGAATATCAATATGTTCTCAAAGTGCATGTAAGCAAACCTGTGGCATATCCTCCATTGAACAAAGCGACATAGCATATCTGAAGACCAGAATTATATAATACCAGTTTTGCTCCGCCCGCTATCGCGCGCATCACACGGCAGGCTTTAGCGAAACTGGAGGACCCATGGAATATCAGCATGAGGTACTCCATTAACCACCTCACTATTGAATGTGTTAGACCTTTCCCAGTTTCGCTGAAGTCCATCGAGAATACGCGTGATAACGTCTGGAGCTGAACTGGCATATTTATTTTATTTACATCACCATTATTTAGAACCCCGAAAGGATTAGCGGTTTAATGAGTTTGGGCTTTCTTGATAGAAGAAATGAAACTTATCATTTGCTGAATTGATTGAGTTTATGCAATCGACTGCTATTAAGTAAGCTGGTCATACAATGATACAATGTGCACGTACCACTACAAATAGAATTTGTAAGTAGGGACGCTCTAGTGTCAGCGCAAGCTACGTAACGGAATTGACGACTTTGCGTTCAGCCCTTTATCAGTTGTAATCCACTTTCAATCACCCAGCAACAATGTCCATCCTACCCCACAAATGTCCCCGTCCCACCCCACATAACACTTGTAAGTATGGACGCTCTGGTGTCAACGCGAGCCAGGTAACGGAATCGACGACTTTTGCGTTCTGACGCATCTTATCAGCCCTTATCAGTTGCTATCGCTTTCAATCATGTACCACCAATGTCCCGGGACCACCCCACATAACACTTGTAAGTATAGACGCTCTAGTACCAATATGAACGACAAAACGAAATTGGCGATGCTCGCTTTCTAGCCCCTCTTATCAGCTATTATCAGTCGTTATCAGTTCCTATCACATACCACTTGTGTCCCCATCCCACCCCCTATAACATATGTAAGAACCACTGCGCTATCGTTACTGTGACTCGAGCTATGAATTTCCGTCAAACACACACACACACATACACACGCACAGACATACTAGCGAATTATATATAGTAGGATTTTCCACGAAATATTAGTTGGCCATATGCTTCAAAATAATAACACGACAGCTAGAAGAGTTTTTAGGTAGAATTGGTACTGCCT